ATATGTATTTTAATGTAAAATCTTAATCCCAAGAGGAGAATCTGTGGAAAGAACTGAAAACTGCTGTTCACAAATGCTCTCCATCCAACCTCACTGAGCTCGAGCTGTTTTGCAAGGAGGCATGGGCAAAAATTTCAGTCTCTCGATGTGCAAAACTGATAGAGACATACCCCAAGCGATTTACAGCTGTAATCGCAGCAAAAGGTGGCGCTACAACGTATTAACTTAAGGGGGTTGAATAATTTTGCACGCCCAATTTTTCAGTTTTTTATTTGTTAAAAAAGTTTGAAATATCCAATAAATTTCGTTCCACTTCATGATTGTGTCCCACTTGTTGTTGATTCTTCACAAAAAATTACAGTTTTATATCTTTATGTTTGAAGCCTGAAATGTGGCAAAAGGTCGCAAAGTTCAAGGGGGCCGAATACTTTCGCAAGGCACTATATGTATTAATAATAAGATCACCAAGATTTTGTATTGTATATAAGACCTAATTTGTAATCAGTAACACCTGCTGTCAGTAATATAAAAAAACACAACATTTCCTAGTGGTTGTTTTTTTTTTTTTTTTTGTAAGAAGTCACATAAATGTTGTAAATTGATGATTTAATCTTTAACAATATGGTGCATTTTATATGATGGGCATATGTATTTTAATGTAAAATCTTAATCCCAAGAGGTAACAGTAATCAGTAGCTATCAGATAAATGTTGTACCTTTCCTTCTGAAATGTACGGTAGTGGATTAGAAGTATAAAGTAACATAGAATGGAACCACAATGGTTCCATTCTATGTTGTGGGGAGGGGAGTACTTGAGGAACTGTGTTTTGGACAGGAAGTTCAATTGTTGGGTCTGTAGTCGACTGTCCTTTTCCAGTTAGTGAGGGCTGATAGAATGAACCACAGTCACACCAGTACAACCTGTCAGCCAGCGTGCACGGGAACAGGTTCTGCTCTTTATCTCACTCCTAATGCCCCATGTTTCTGCCCACCCACAACATTCGCCTGAGGGGTTTAAACTCCTGCATGTCAGAGTCTTCAGACAAACCTTGTCCCTCACCGGTTCCATCACATCAACTCCAGCAGAGGTCAGAGGTCAGAGCACAGAGCAGAGGGCCGGGGAGGACTCAGGACTCAGAGGGATTGACTGGTGAACTTGACTAACTGGACTGACTGACAGACAGGAGGACCTGGACACAAACATCACACTCAAAGTCAGATAAACAAAAAGGAGATCAGTGCAGTTTATTAAATAAAGGCAAGCCAAGTTCATTTGTACTGAAACTTTCAACAGCTAAAAAACATGCTTTACATCAGACATAAAAACACATTAAAACAAGATACTCGGTGCATCCAACAGCACAACCAGAGCTTTGTGAAGAAAGGCATAAACTAGAATTTTAATTTAATTTTATGTTTTTATTGTGATTTTTTTAATGCAGTTTTTATCTGTAGATTAATTCCTGGGTAATTATTGCCTATGTTTTGGTAATGGGTGTAGCCTGACCATGGTATGAGCTCTGTCATATCCATTTTGTTGTGAATGAATAACTGAACCACTGAACCTTTGAACGTTTTCTGTGGTACAAAGAAAGTGAATGCTTCTTCTTTAGCTTTGACTCTGAGGACAGTAAGTAAAAGTCAAATAGTGAGTGAGCTCTTCATGGATCAATTACTGAACAGGCCTTTGGGGACAATGAGCCTCTGTATGAAGTGATTGGGAATTTATGTTGCAGAGGGTGACAGAACTCAGTTACAAATAGGGATGTCATGTTATTTAATTGATGAATTTTTTATTTTGCTTCTGATTCTAATCAAAGCCTTATAATAAGTTGTATAATAACAAATTTCCCAGTTCCTACCCTTCTTTCTTATATGGTCTCTTGGAAATTATAAACATCAATCCATCCATTATCTATACCGTTTATCCTGAAGATGGTCACGGGGGGCTGGAGCCAGTCCCAGCTGACAGACACACCGCACAGGTCACCAAGCTAAGCTATATTTATTTGAGAAGTCTCTCTGAGATTAAGATCTAAGATCTTTTTTTACAAGCAACCATAAAATGAATTAATGATCAAAGTAATTACTAGTTGCAGATATACTGAAGATTTGTGACTGTTTGGGATCCGTTTGAGTTAGAATTAAATTATTTAAGTTAAACTACTTAGTACAGCTGAGCAAAATATTGATGCATAAAAATTCTTAATTTGACTGATTAGAATTCTTCAGAATCAATATCTAGTAAATAATTACAGTAATGTTCACTTGCATTTGTACTGGTCAGACGTAATAGTTTTGCTTGGACAAATGAGGGCGCCACATGACAATTCATCAGTGTGGTTCATTATAAATACATCTTAACTGCATCCATGGGCTTTATAGGCTAATATGTATATGGATACATGTTTTTAGTATGCACCTTGATTAGTATGTGTTTTTTAAAATTGCGTAATAGAAAGGAAATGTTATGTTTGTACTATAGGTAACAATTTAATTTGTTCATATAAGTACATGATAACTATACTGTTACTACTGTTACTATACTATAATACTGCAAGTGCAAATACGCTTTTTTTATAAGATCTGAGATTAAACAATGTATAAAACCACTGTATAGTTAGTGGCATGCTAAAAACTATATAGAATTTTTACTGACTAACAATTATATTTTGGGCACAGTGTATCTGTGTACCTGCGAAGGAAGCAAACATAAGACCAACAATATTAAATTCTTCTTCTTCTAAATACTATAAATTTTCATAAAGCACATTTATAAAACAGGGTTTAGAAAGTAACAAAGTGCTTAAACAAAACTATTTTGGGTGGGCTATGGTAAAGGTCATAGAAGGGCCAGTTTGTAAAATTGCAACCTATATGGCCTCCTGACTTCTCAGGCCCACAGGCCTGTGCCTGTGCTCAACAATCCAGTCATGAACAAAAATTGTTATGCACCCATCAACTGTACAGTTCTGTTGAGTTAATCTGCAGTCAGGCAGTGATGGAGAAATATCACAATGAATCACAAAACTCTGTCACATTATAACAATACATGGATAAATGGAGCAGAAGTCATGGGACTACCCACATAAAAAAAACAGCATGCAAATTGAAAAACAAAGAGTACATCCTGGGAGAGTGCAGTGACAAAGTCCAGCTTGTAATGTTAATTATTAAGATACCCCTGTCGCTTTACTGTATGTTCTTGTTTTGATGGAGATGTGACCCTGAGGTGAACCGTTAACCACTCAGAATGCTGGGCAGTGTGAATGACTGAACAACAGCTCCAGGAAGTGGAACAGAAAGAAAACAAACACGTGCACTGATCAGTACAGGTTTACTGAAGACCACTCTGCATAAACATCTGTGCAGACTTGTACTGGCCAGTCACTGCTTTTCAGTCCCCCACTTTATATAAACCAGCTAAATCCAGAGCATTTCATTGTTGGGCCTAAAATGTGGAGTATGTAAAATGTGGCTTCATAAAGACATGACTGGTCACACTGTTTTTTGAAAATTATCTATTAATTCTCTGTGCAGTGCACTTGCTGTGTTTCTACTGTATAATTATTATATATTCTAGTGGAGATCCCAAAGTTTCAAACTCTACCAGAGATGTTTAGCTAAATTGGGAGAACATGTAAACAGACAGAACACACTGTGATAAAAATGTGACCTGATCTCTACCATGTATAAATTCAAACACCAGCAGAATGGATGACATTAACCAGATGAACCTTCAGTGGCAGCTACACTATATCCTCAGTGTAGAATAAGATTATAACCTTAAATCTACTTAAGGGGACATTAAAAGAGAAAACTATAGTTCACAGGGTTAAATTAGTAATATGTGATCACTGGGTTTGACACCTAAAACTGTCAGGAATTCTTCAGGAGAGGTGATGTTTTGGTATCTTGCGCTTCATTTGACTGTTGTGTAGCACCAAACACCCTCCAACAATACATAATGGATAGGCCTCCTCTGTCACATGTGCTTTCACCTGTACCATAGCTGAATTATTCAGCCTGGTGGCAGAAAGAGATCTGGACAGTCTGCAGGAGCTGCAGTCAGATGATAAGAAGATTAGTGTTGTTCTGTCAGAAGAACTGTTAGGGCCAGTCAGGCCTCAGTGTGTACACCAGGCTGTAAACTATAGTTGTCAACTGAGTTGAGTGTTGTCACACCATTTGTGACAGCAAAAGTCTACGGCATGATACCATCACTGTGCAGTAGAAGGCATGACAGGATGATTATCCATTTTCTTCTTAAGAGTCATTAAGGGTCAAGTAGGCTATCAAAGACAGGGTAGCCTACAGGGCATGAGATACAGATAATAAGGAATCCCAAGATCTGACAGGCTTCCTAAAAACACATTTCTCTATTATCACTGTGCGGTAGAAGGCATATCATTAATGTAGGCTAATCTTCAACCAACTTGTTAAAAAAAGAAAAATGCATCCTTTATTATAACAACAGAAAAAAGTGTCCTTTATTCTAACAGTGGGGGAACCTCATTTAAACAATCTCATACAAACAGCTCTTAACACTTTATATTTACTGTAGTGTTAGTAAGTTTTAATAAATGGTTATAGGCTAATATATATTGCATTAACCAAACTCATTAATTTCAGCTTCTACACCCTTCATAGATGGTTCTTAGTAGTGCCAGTAAAAGGTGTAAACACCACTGGAGCCAAACAAAACAAAACATTTACTGTGTTTGCGTGTGTATGGTTCATATGGCTACCAAAGTAAGCAACCAATCACAGCCAAATCTCCAATCAAACATACTGCGTCAGCGCAAAGTCCATGAATAAAAGCGCGTGTGTAGTGATATTGGATAACTACAGAGGGCGGAGCGGATATCATTGGCACTATTTGACTCCACTCACCGATGGTGTCGCTGAATAATAAAGAAAGCGCACCAGTGAATTTAAACTCTTCACCTCTATAGCCAATCAGCGCCTTCCTACTACTATTTCCCCCCGGAGCTGTCCAATCAGCGTCGTTCTACTCTTTGTTGTTGGTGCTGATGATGATGACATGAAAATATTGTTGTTGCTACTGCAGGCTGCGGAGACTCAGTGGTGGGAGGCAGGCGCTGGCTGGCAGGGAGGACTGGGTCTGAGGGTTCAGAGTGGAGATTTACATTTTTTATTTTGTTTTCATCGTAACGCAGCTGCGTGTTGCGGGGAAAGTGGCCATGTCGGTAAATATGGACGAACTCAGGCATCAAGTAATGATCAACCAGTTTGTTTTGACGGCTGGCTGCGCCGCGGATCAGGCGAAGCAGCTTCTACAAGCGGCCCACTGGCAGTTTGAGGTGAGTCTCAACGTTGGGAGATTTATTGGGTCTTCATGCCCTTATGGGGTTGCGCTACTGTTTAATTCCTCAACTGTATATGAACTGCGGACAGATATAAATCAGTTCTTTCTACTGATTGTTTTGAATGTTTTCTGTCCTGCTGTGTAACCATGCGCTCCTGTAGCTAACATGAGCTAAGCTAACATCAATGAGGACGTGGTACTCGATTCAATGGCCGTTTTTGTTTACATTCTCAAAAGGAATGCCCCGTGTCATTGCTCTGCTAACTATCGTTAGCCTAGCGCCTGTCAGGATAATTCTGCCTTTATGAACATTATGGTCGCTCTAGCCAGGTCATTGTATTTTAATAGCTTTTGTCAAAAACAAATAGCTTTATCTTAATCGAAACCACTGATGCCATCTTGTCAGACATGTCCTCATAACACTACCATCCATTGCTCATATGCAGGTCATAAACTGCGGGTTTGGTTTTGTTTGTTCAGGCCAAATCTCACACGGGGCGATACGTGAAACACTGCCTGCTACACTAGTTTAAAACAATCCCTTAATCACATTTCCTGCATGACTGGAGACTTTTCTCCCAGTTATTTGACTGGTCTGACTAAAAGTCTTTCCATAACTGAGTAATGTCTTGGTTAACGCTTCAACTGTGGGATTGTTTTTTGGTTATTTTTATGAGGAGAAACAGAGGTCAGACTCCCTCTACTCACAAATAAGTTGTCTGACATTGATCCCCATCTTATCCGGGTTTGTGTATACATTGATAAAGATGCATTATCATTCCAGATGTTATCCTGTACACCCTTCCTGTGCTATTGACAGTTATTCAAAGCAGAAATGATTAGTCATTTAATCTATTTTCAGCTTATCCTGTCTGAGGAGTTACTGCTTTGTCTGACTTGTTTAGTTGTCAATTGAAGATATCTTTGGGTTTTGAACACAAAATAAGATATTTGAAGGCATTAGCTTGGACTCTGAGAAATTGCTTTGGACTTTAGATTTGCAACAATTGATTGATTTGTTGATGAACAGAAAATAAATCAAGTTTTCAGACAAATCAACTAATGATTTTTTTAAAACAAATCCTTTCTGTATCCAGCTTCTCAAATGTGAGGCTTCTATTTTGATTTGACTTGTTGTATCAGTTAAACATTAAATAAAAGAAATATTTGTTAGATTAATCTGGATCTTAAATGATTGGGCATTTTAATCAATTAGGTGATTGACAGAAAAAACTATGAGCAACTATCCTGATAATCAATCGTTTCTGTCATTTTTCTCTCAGAAGAAGTAAACAAATGTCAAATGTTCTCTGATTCCAGCCTCTGAAATGACAGAACCTGCTGCTTTTCTTTGCACATATATCATTGGAGACTGAATATATTTGAGTTTTGGACATTTGGTTGAACAAAATAAAGCTACATGAAGATGTTTAGCTCTGAAAAAGTTGTGCCCATCCCAAATCACGACACCACTCTGGCTGATAGTTTGTCATATTCATCAGGCCTGTTGAGCAGCTGACAGCCACCTGAAGGATCTTTAACATCAGGCAGAAGGTTCTCCTCAGACCACACCTCTGTCTGCTTTAATGACCAGGCTGCTGTGGCTGTGCAGGCAGTGCCAGGCTACATCCGAGGTCAGGTGGTTCACCTGAGGGGAGGGAGAGGAAGGGTACTTGGTTCATCTTGGGTACGGCCCTGTGGTTGTAAAGTAAGGCTGAAACAAATAGTTGATTACTCAGCAAGTCAGTCAATTGAAAGTTACTGATCAGCAGTTTTGATAAGTAGTTAATTTTAGTCTTTTTTTTTAAAGCAGAAATGTGAAATGTTCACTGGTTCCTGCCTCCCAAGTGTGAGAATTTGATGCTTTTCTTCGTCATATGTGACAGGAAACTGGAACACAAGTGTAAGCTGAGCATATGTTTGGTAACCAACAATAGACCATTGTTCTGTCAGTGCAGCGAGTCACTGACCTTTGTTACCTGGACAGCATAACACAACTAAACCATTAGAGACAACAATGAGGAAAAAAAAACAACCTCAGACTGATGAAACTCATAGACAGTTACCTGTCTGAATACAGGGTCTATGAAGATGCAGTTGTAGAGACTGTAAAGTCCTGTGAGCCAAATTTATGATCATTGTTGTTATTTTGAAATTGTCTTGATTTTATTGGAGCTTTTATTAACATTTCTATTTTATGATAGAGCTGCTCCGAAGGCAGAAATAATCTTTGGGTGAATTTGTCATGTGTTTCATTCCTCATTAATAGTATTTAAAGCTACTCTCCCTAATGGCTTTTCAACCATTACAGGGTCTAGTTAGTCTCAAAACAAACTGACACCATTACCCACTC